CACTTCCAAAGTATTTTCCATCTGGAAACTGGTTTGTTGCCTACGGTTATATCGTACTCTCAATGTGCTTTCCAAGTGTTTTGGGAGTCCTTTTCGTTCTTTAACTTCAGCTTTTACATCACTTCTCAACAATATCTTTAGGATACATTATATTTGAAAATTTCATTTGAAATAATCTCGGCGACTGACATGTAATTTTCACATATAATGACTTCTCTATACTGGGCGCCCGATTTCTGACAAACTATTCGTTCTAATCTTGACGAATATTCGTATAAGTATCTTTAGAAGTTCTCGTACCGAAAGTTGTGGGATCCTTTTGTTCCGCTTAGTTTGCCTTTGTATATGAATGAACTTTAGTATTATTGGTTCCTAACCACACGATCTTTAAAGCTGAACATACAACCTCAAACAATTAAGTGTGTTTCAAAACAATAGGACTAAAGTATTCATTCACTTCCTTATTCTGCATAGACATTATATTTCCTATAATCTTGTATTGAATGTTGAGAAGCTTTGTGTGTTTGAACAGCTTGTAGTGACTCACTTTTATCAGGAGAACACGACTAATTTAATGAAAACAATTATTATTATAACCAACTGTACCAGTGCTTGTTTTAATGTGCTTTTGTTTAGCTGTGCTAAAAAGCATCCATTATTCTTACACTTTGATTGTTTCCTCGCGCGAATTCGGCTACGTTCTGTAACCAAGGCTTTATCCTGGCACAATCTCAGTATTCTTTCGATACCACGAGGTCGCCAGAGAATATATCTCGATTTGGTCCATTAACTGCCTTCTGATATTTCGCTTCTGGGGGATTTTATGGATATCCTGGCGCTCGTTCCTTGGTACCTGTTTTCATAATCAATTTCGACTAAACACCACGCTACAACTGGTGAGCCGAATTCTCGAACACGCCACAATCTCTGGTCAAATCTTCTAAAGAAGCCAATTCGGTAAGTCTATTGTTTATCTATCCACGTCTGTCGTATATTTTCATATTACTTTTCAATGTATAATATACGCGACATGACGGATAACGATAAGAATAGTATTAATATAATGGACTCCCATGTACATGTACCGAATCCTTGTCACTTTTTATTTGCGTGACGGTAAATTCCACGCTTCATTCGAGAAAATTTCCCCTATTAACTATTCTCCTCGCTGACCCGGCTGCTTGGTACGGAACACATACGCATACGCATTACAGTCTACCACCCAGCACCAAATGGTTCAGTTGAACGGTTTCATTGCCAACTTAAAAGTGCTCTACGAGCACACGAAAACGACAACTGGTATAAAACCTTACCTCTCGTTCTCTTAGGGATCAGAACGAGCTTGAACGCAGATATCCAATGTTCCGCCGCTGAAATTGTATACGGCACGACATTGCGTCTACCCGGAGAATTCACACCACGGAGCAGACCTAATTTCGGTAAATCAGACTACGTCCATCGACTGTCTGCATTTATGCGAACGCTGTCTCTGGTGTCAACTCGAATACAGCATCGACAGGTCGCTCTCCCTCGAGAGTTATCTACCTGTTCACATGTTTTCATACGAGTAGATTCGGTACGCAAACCTTGGCAACAACCTTACGAAGGCCCTTTTCACGTGATCGCTCGTCACGAGAAGACCTTCAAGGTTGATCGATATGGACGCGTCGAGATCGTCAGCATTGATCGTCTCAAACCAGCACACGTCGATGACAGTGCCCTATCTGGTAACCTGAGATTCAATGCTAGACCTATTAAACCTGTAGAATTATGGTCTACTATGATAGTAGTACTGCTCTTATAATAGACCTAATCCTAAATTTGTAGGTTTGTCATGATATAACTGCCTAATCTATAAGATCTTACGTGGAAGTCACACCATCGACTACACCAACTCACTGTATCGTATCAATTACCAATATATGATGTAGAACAAGGTTAGGTTAGAGAAAGAACAATATATTTAATATGAATAGAAGATATAAGGTAACATTCAGCAGAGACCACGCCTGCATGGTCGAGCCATGCCACTCGACCAACTCCAGTCAATTTAATTCATTCCCCGCGTCTTCTCCATTGTTAGGTATTTCCCCGAGTTAAATATTGAATATCTATTTTCTGAGTAGTCTGGTGTTCACAGCTTTGTGGATTGTGTGGCTATTATCCAATGCCACTACAAACCTACTAGCGGGATCCTCAAATCTCCTTCAGATCCCACGCTAGATACACCTGAGGCCTCATTCTCGCGTCCCGGTCAACAGCGCGTGTCCTCTGCATCATCTACGGACGAGACGGCAGTCTCACGTCCAGATCAGCAGACCACGCCCCCCTTGACTTCGGGTGAGATTACAGACTCACGCGATACGAACGAGGCTACCGTCTCACTTTCCAGTCGCTGAGTACGGTTGCCCGTACGCTTCCGCGACTAGCCGCACAGTCAACAACCGATACGGTGTAGGACTATTCCCATGCTACATGCATGCTACACTCTTCTTTTTTTGATTTTTTTTCTGTATCTTGAGCCTACGCATCCGACCATCACCGTTTGGTATCGTCGACTTCGGTCAACTTTGGCGAAAGCTGGACTGGCCACCCACGCTCTTGTCAACGCACTCAGTCGATATTTTGGTTTCGAATGTTTGACATACGCTTGGTCTCGAGGTTGGTCGTTATGGTCGCTTCTGGTTCCTCGGCTCAACGTGGTTTCATCCTACGTCTGCAGCGTTTTCTGGTCGGCATCCCTACGAACGCAATCTACAGATTCTGGATACAAACCACTCTAGTGTGGTATGCCAACGCGAGTAACAAATACAACACACCGCTCCTAGTACCGTTCTCCGAAAAAGACCTCCGTCGGCAACTCGACGATCAACGATCGCTTTTCTGTTCTGCCAATTCTTCCGTCCTAGCGTCGCTCGTCAGCCGATCAGTCCCACGAATTAAATCGCTACTTATCAAAAGTGTATACCCTTTCTAGCGGGCGGCTCCTGTAGTGACTCACTTTTATCACGAGAACACGACTGGTTTAATGAAAACAATTATTATTATAACCAACTGTACCAGTGTTTGTTTTAATGTGCTTTTGTTTAACTGTGCTAATTACAGCCACTTTGTGCTTCCATTACCTTCCATTATTGTTCCGCGGTTTTTGGCTTTTTTCGCACGTACTCCGTTCTCCTGCTTGTGCTTGTACCATTTCTTGGCACGATCTTGGTATTCGTTAGATACCACGAGATCGCCAACGAAATAAATCTGGTTACGTTCAACCTTCGCCTTCTGATTTGTTTGGTACACATTTCCTTGTAGTGCCGTTCATAGTCAATTTCGCCTCGACACCACGCTACAAGGTAACCTCCCGCTGCACTGTGACTGTCCGACGAGCTAAATAGAAACCTCTTCTAATCTGGTTTCTATCAGTAGAATGAGGGTTACCTACCGGAATGAACATGTGGTAGATTATGTAGTCACGTCAAGACAAATCAATCACTTCAGGATCAGGTCTACTATTATAGCCGTATTATTAAGAAAATAGACCATAAATCTATGTAGCAACCTTTACGAACCATTTTAACAGACCAGACTAGTAGTTATTCATCTGGATGTCAAGCCTTACGAACACCTTTCAAACATCTCTAGTTTTATCGTAAGTGGATCCACAATGTTCAAAGTCTGTGTACATAAACATACACTAGTGCTTTTCTGATGTCCAAGGTGTTTCCTAACCTGGTTGGTTATTTGTGGTGGACATTTGTTAGGTATGCATGGTTCTTAATATGATGGGGACTTGAACGTCACCAAGCTAAGTGTACCTTTAAATATAGACCATGCTTCTCCAATTGGTATGGTAGTTTTTACTGAACAGCCCGTTAATCCAGCACAATCTCTATGGTTGTTATGTTTGCTATCCACATATTTTGGTGAGGTCTAGCCTGATCGTATATTATATCACAAACTCTGAATATGAATGATAAAACAAAATGACTGATATTTGCTGACAGTGAAAGAATATTTAGATAGTGAATGTTCTCGATCTCATTAAAAGTATATAAAAATACTCGTTATATTAGTAAACCAAACCAATTTCATGAGAAAACCTGCATTTGCACACCATTCAATAAATTGATTTTTTCCCTGTGTGTTGAAGATCCATTCACAAGGATCGGATGTTTCTGCACTTGGATATAGTTATCTACAAAGCAGTCAAACTACCACCAACTTACACTTTGAAATTTATAAAATGCCTTCGGGAAATCTCTCGAGACAAGGAAAAATGTGCTCAGCATCAGAAGTCTAAATTGTTCAATTATGTCAACCGAAACATAAAGGAAACTGAGAGCTTGACCGATAGCGCTAGACATTTCTGTGCAAACGTTAATAAACACTTCCTAGAATTACATGTCATAGTTCTTGCGGATATTACGTTAATTTTGAATGTAATGAAACCTTTAACTTTCCAATGGACAGGCGCTTAAACATGAATGTAGTTTTAGCACTAAAAAAGGACAATAACATCCTTAATATGGTTCTTAACGACTGTTTTCAGGGCTTTCAGACATCAAAAACTACTAATGCGAACACTACGTATTCTTCCAAGTTAACGCGCAACCAGTCTTGAGCACTTCAAATACGGAGTTCTCGTTTAGAACTAAGCTACTCAAGGTCGTGGAGGTAGATCTGACCCTGACCTAGCTTTTCATCGGCACACTATGCGTGTTAGTTTACGGGTTTTCGCGCACGTGTAACATATTGTCGTGGATTTTATGTGTCGTTATTTATCAGCTATTAACAGCCTTTTTTCCATCATACGTGAATTCTCGTAATCTTTGTGATTGGAAGATAGTTTTTATTTCAATTTATAAGCAGTTTGACGTATTTCGTGCTCACCACCTAAGTAAATATGTAGTTTAGACCTTAAACATAAGATACTAGTTAAAGATTTTTGCCTCACTTTTAAATCTTCCGATTTCCGTCTATGACCAAACGTACAATTAAACGATACAAACAGGTATTTGAACCTGACATCCTTCAGCAATCTGCTTTCTGTGTGGATGTAACGAGTATAAGTAGTCTGAGAAGCGATAAAATTATAATTCCATACTTTTTGGAACTCTTTTAAGGCGCTTTCAAAATCATCCGACAACACGAAACGCTTGTTCAGTATCATACTTCGAAAGGCATCGGTTAGGTCGACTGAAATGTCACTTGAGCATGAAGCACTAAAAACAGACATGACTAATTATTAAAAAGTTATTCCTTGCAACAATAATAACCCAAGGAAATACTACAAATACTTAGGATTTACCTGTGACTTGACATTTCGTTGAGCTTTACTACAGTTGTTGGGATCACAGGTCAAATTACAAAGCAACAACGGAGCCAAAGTGTACACTACAAAACAGAGAACGCTAAATTAATGGTTTTGGTATTTATTTCGTGCTTTTTTATGTAGCATAAGATGACTTATATATGAAAAAACTTGATACTCATGCAATCCAACCAACCTACGGCAATTGAAATACGGAATGACCGCCTCTAGTCAAGCCGTTCAAGGTCGTTGAAACGAAAGGGCGGGTACATTTCAAAAGGACCTAACGTTTAAACCTTGCCCTTTTCATCTATCCTGACTTTTAAAGCTTTACAGTTATCTATGCTGGACATGTCGAATCTTCCAGACTTCCAGATTACAAGATATAAAAACATTCAAGAAGACTATTAAACTGACTAGATCGAGTGCAGTCAAGTAGCCAGAATACTGCCCATTGGACGTTATTAAGGACCTTGAACGGTACCACAACACCAAGGAGTGAGCTCCGTATGAGATTTTCTCAGGTGTTTACATCTAATGTCAGAACTGTTATTATTGGACCTCCTGGTTCAGGGAAGGCTACCATCTCTTTGCGTTTACAGAAAGACTTTGCTTTGAAATATATCTGCTGTGGCGATATGCTAAGAAACCATGTTGCTTTAAAAACAGGTAGATGTACATCTTCCTGTGTATGTTTTATATCTTAGATATTGGGACGCAGGTAAGCAGGTTTGTCCAGAATGGTTCACTTGTTTCGGACAGTTTAGTCACTAAAATGATGATTGCTGAGTGTCAAAGTTATGCAAGCGATAACTTACTCATTGATGGATTTCCGAGAACTATGATACAAGCTGAAGACGTTCAAAAACAACTTCCTGTCAGCTGTGTTCTTTGCTTAGATGTACCCTTCGAAGAAATCATAAATAGAATCAGTGGGAGATACACTCATGTCCCAAGTGGTAGGACGTACAATGATAATTTTAACCCTCCGAAACGCAAAGTTAGTATGATATGACCTTGTAAACTATATTACTTGATAGCTTTTACTCACTGCTATTATATTGTATCTTAACATTTAATTTTTGTGACCAATACGGCTTGGATCTTTAATACCTTTGGGTGTGCTGGTAAGTAGTGTGCGTAATGAATTTCCCGTTTTGATCATCGTCCATGTAGATTTAAGTTCATTAGTACTAACTTTTGCAGATTTTCCGTTCTTATGAGTTCAGAATCAACCGTAAGTTTATTTCGTCTCGTTTCCAAGAGGGTTTGGTAAAAACACTGGTTAGCCTCTTTCCCTGAGCCATGATTAATTGGGCTCGAAACAGTACACAAACATTTACTAGGTAAGTGAATTACGTCATGATGCTGCCACAAAATCATTACAGTCTACACGGTCAGTTGGCAAGTCGATCTATGATTCTCGTCAACTGAACTGATTAGGATGTGTATTACATATGCTTAACTATCATGCTTACTTTAAATACGTTGAAAGCAACTTAGGGATAATCAAACTAAGACAACCTTAGCTCATGAAGCCATTGATTGTTGGTTGATTCGGACTACCTGATTGAGGTGCGCGTGATAACTGCGATCAGTGGTTTGAGACTTTGGGCAATAAGATGTTGCATCGTCCATAATTGTACAGATGCGTTCACTGCTTATGTTCTTGGTCTTGAGTCCCAGGATCTATACATACATGCCTTTTCCACTCTGCCTATCAGGGCCATATTCTTATTCAATCTGTCACCGTAAGTATCATATTATTTCGATCGCTTTGGCTGTTCATCTTAGTTTCATGTTTTCGTAATATTATGGTAAGACAACTGGGGCCGATATACATCTTTGCCAGGTTCTACGTTGATAGTGACTGACTGACACTTAGTACTAGAATCAATTATCTTCCTGTCAGTTCACCACCTTTATAAAGCGTTGGAGAGACACTAGAGAGTTAGAGACCCTAAATATGCTTAGATTTGTCGGTTGTATACTTCTAAATCAGTTAGGCGTTAAGGTACAACAATCCTTCAGTAGGTTCATGGAAATTAATGACGGGAAGTCTCACTATAAAGATTTTCTTCCTATGTCTTGTTATGTGGCATTTTACTCATTGATTTATATTACTAACACTTGTGAGATAAAATGCTACTACTTCTCACTGTATATTGATCATACCATTACCATAAAATTTTGGGAGTTTTAATTTTTTGGTAATTTTAACAATTCTAGAAACATACCATTATGTGCTTGCTGCTATTTCGATGTCAAAAAAATTTAGTGGGTGTATTTAGCAATATTATAAGCGTCTTGGATCCAACTCATTTAGTGAGCTCAAACAGTATTTATTTCTGCGTATTTCTGTCACTTAGTGATGAGCAGTCTTTCCTTTACTTGTATGTAAGGTTAGCCAAATTTATATTCGATCTTCCTAAATATAGCCACTGCTTTGTGGAAAAATGTATGTTAGTTGGGGGTTGAATTTAAGCTTTACAAGGACAAGATAATTACTATTGTCATTCACAAGTGGTTCTCTTATTTTAATTCTGATCACATCCACAGAAGAATACCGGGATTACCTGGAATGCTGTCTTATCCCTAACTTCATTTCACTGACCGTAAATATTCGATGTTCCGTAAATTAGACGAAAATAGTATGTAATCCGATAACTTTTTATTGTATCAGCTTAAGCTTAACAGATAAGATGTTGAAACAAGTCATCCAATATAAATATGTTACAGTTCCGTTGCAGTCAAAACCGTGCTGTGTTTACGGGGGGTTTGTGTATATATTTGCGTTCGTCCCCAATGTCCTGTGTTCATATTGGAGAAATATAGTCATCAGTTTATAACTTAATGTAACCCATGAACCATCCTCTTTTATCACTACTTTTATTTTGAAAATAGGGATTTGATGATGTGACTGGAGAACCTCTAATACGCAGAGATGATGATGACCTGATAACTGTTCGTAAACGTTTGGATGTTTATCAACTTTCTACTTTACCATTCCTTGATTATTACGGGTACGTTAACTTCGACTTTTTCTTTTGGAAGTGTTTGTAATATATTAAAGCAATTATTTTACTTGTAGTTTTTATTGTAAAGTATATGCAAATTGTCATTTAATACTTGATTGAAACAAGTTAACATTTTTAATTTATAGTTTGCAGTACAATTAAATAATACAACCGAATAACTAAAATGTAATAGCGTACTCATTTGTGAGCAATCTTGTGTAAGAGCTACCTTGAGTCAAAGATCCTACTCCCAATGAAAAATAGTTAGGCTAATTTTAAACCTGAAACCTTCAGTATTTTAACTATCTAACTACTCAAAAATGTCACTCCCAGTTGTTCATTGTTTAGTGTAACACTACTGGAGTAAACAGTATTACTTGGCTTCATTATTCAATGTAGTTGATGTATATTTGAAAGCTAATCATTCAATACTTATAAATCTAGGATGTTAATAATTTCTGTACAATTTTGACTAATAATGTTTTTTTTTAAATCTTTAATTAAATAACCATCATATGTTACCGTATGTGTCGATTGTTCTTTATAATCACTTTACTGAATCGTGGTGTAAAGCTGATAATTTATATTTGATTTAGAACAACATATATAAACAAACAATATTGTTTTCGATTAGATCCTCATCGGACTTTACTCTAATATACAGTAATACTTATTTGCATATACAAAATTATTAAACCAATCAAGGCAGTTTATGAGTCAATGATAACGATGGAAAAGATTACATAATAAGTGAAAAGTACAAATTGATATTGATGAATAATAAAGGCTTAAATCAATGTTGCATAATCGGAAATTATTAGAAAAATATAGACAGTGAGATAACATTTATAAAAATTATAAGATTACGTAATAAGAAGTGTTCAGATAATTGGACCGTGAAACGTATATTTGAGAGAAAATAAAATAAAATGGTACGAGGCGGTGAAGAGAAAAATAATAAACGAAGAGAGAGTATAGAAAATAATAATGGATAAAATCATTTATTAAGGTCAAGGAAGAGATAAGGGTGTTACAAATTTCTTATGAACACAAAAACTTGTTGGCTCGAATTCTTATAGCTTCTGCTATGCGTAAGAGACGAGACCAAACACTATAAGGAAAACTCGTCCCATCAGGTTCTGAACATGATGAAGAGCGACAACAAATCGGATCTAGGTTAAGAAAAAGTCTAAGGAACGACCGTGAGCAGTGGTGGGCAACGAAAGCAAAAGAGATGGAAAAGGCGGCGACTATAGGGAACACAAGACAGCTTTACAGACTAATAAAAGAAACTGGAATTAATAAGTCAAGTGTAAGTGAGATTATTTCGGAAAAAGATGATACTCTCATCTGCTCCCAGTCCAGACGTTTAGAACGATGGGCGGAACATTTTAGAGAACAGTTCAGCTGGCCTTCAGCTACTCTACAACTACCCTCCATTCCCAGACAATGTGAATGGAACATTGAAGTAGGTCCCCCAACTCTTGCTGAAGTTCAAAAGGCTATAGTTAATCTGAAACGAGGAAGGGCAGCTGGTCCAGATGGATTGGCTCCAGAGGTCTTTAAGGATGGTGGTCCAATTTTAGCGATTAGGTTGACTAATATTTTAGCTAAGATCTGGGAATTAGACTTTATCCCATCTGACTGGTCGCAAGCACTTATCGTCCCAATATATAAGAAAGGGTCAAAATCATCCTGTGACAACCACAGAGGGATTAGTTTAACAAACATAGTATCTAAAATACTGGCCTCGATAATTATCAGACGTCTAACTAAGACTCGTGAACTACAAACTCGAGAGAACCAGGCTGGCTTTAGACCTGGTCGTGGCTGCATCGACCACATATTCACCATTCGTCAGGTTCTAGAACACAGGCATACCTATCGGCGTCCGACGATGGTGGTCTTTCTTGACTTAAAAGCAGCGTTTGACTCTGTAGACCGCGAGACTCTGTGGCAGTGTCTGTCATTGAAAGGCGTACCTCAGAAGCACATAAACCTTGTGAAGGCTCTTTACTCGAACACTACTAGTCGAGTCAGGGCTTATGGCGAACTGTCATCTACTTTTGCAACTTCAAGTGGTGTCTGTCAAGGCTGTCCACTTTCTCCATTTTTGTTTAACTTCATCATAGACCTATTGATGGAAATAACACTCTCGTCGACTGAATTCTCGGGTATTGATCTCCTTCCAGGAGGTCCACTTATCGAATTAGAATACGCAGATGATATAGTCCTGTTTGGTGAAGACGCTGACAAAATGCAGAGTCTTCTGGTAGCACTAAGCAACAATGCCAGAATGTTTGGGATGCGCTTCTCTCCCTCTAAATGCAAGTTGTTGCTTCAGGACTGGTTTGCGTCAACACCTGAACTAAGGATAGGGAGTGAAGTAGTCGATCGCGTCGACAACTTCACTTATCTTGGAAGTCTGATCAGCCCTAATGGGTTGGTGTCTGACGAAATCTCAGCACGGACTTGAAATGCTCGTTTGGCTTTTGCCAACTTACGTCACCCATCGCGAAGGCGAGATATCCGTCTATCAATAAAAGGACGAGTATACTGCGCGGCAGTCCGTTCTGTCTTACTTTACGGCAGCGAAACATGGCCTTTAAGAGTAGAAGACACCCGTAAGCTACTAGTATTTGACCACAGATGCCTTAGAAATATTGCTGGCATCTGCTGGGATCACCGGGTAAGTAATAGTGAGGTTAGACGCAGGGTATTAGGGAATGATGGTAAATCAGTTGATGAGGTTATGAATCTTCATCGACTGAGATGGTTGGGCCACGTATTACGTATGCCTGAACACCGATTACCACGACGTGCAATGCTAACCGGTGTAGGGGATGGTTGTAAGAAAGTTAGGGGCGGCCAAACCAAAACGTGGCATCAGTGCTTGAAGTCACTAACTTCTAGTCTGAGCCATGTTGGTAGATGCAGACTACTTGGTTGGGGTCCGCGTGACTTTCGTAACCAATGGTTGGAGACTCTTGGTGACATGGCTCAGAATCGATCACAATGGCGTCCGTGTATACACTCTTTGTCTTCCCTTAAACTAAGAGATTAAAATCACTTCATATCTTTCTTTCTACGAACTAATTCTTCCTTCCTATACTATATCCTTATTGCAACCTTTGACCTAACCACTGCTATGAATCCGGTGTTCATCTTGTTGTGCTAATGAGGTATGGCAACCTGGACCGATGCACATATGTGCCTGGTCCTACGTTGTAGCTGACTGACTGAGTAGGAATACGATAAATAACTTTAAAGGACTTATTTTTGTCTACTATATGACCGCTATCGATCAAGTGTGATAGAACCGAGCTGCGTATCGTCTTAACAGTACGTTTTCCTAACCACGAAGGGAGGTGTTCACTAACTCTTTGGTTCAGTTGCCTGGTAGTGCGCCCAATATAGCTTTCCCTACAAGAGCAGCTGAATTCGTAAATACACATAGAAGTGGCATAACCAGGTAACTTATCCTTTAGTTGGGGAATCACCATAGATCGGGTGGAGTACAACAGACAGGTTGGCTGCATTAAACGTTCTCTTTACTGCTCTAGTTTGACTACATTACCTATTCTAGTTTTCAGTAGCGTCCAGAAGTCATCTAACTTAAAAATGGTCGGTAGATACTGTATTGAGAGTAGATCCTTCGAAATTGGTTGGCATTTTCTATGTTGTTAAACCACCCATTTTATTTAATAAAAGACTGAAAATCCTGTACTTTCTTATTTTCACCGTATTGTATGTGTAATAAATAGCTAAATAAATTGTTTGGGCACTCAGTTTAGGGATTTATTTAGTAACATTGAACCTCACATTATAAATGAATTCAGAGCCCTTCTGAACTGATATGGATTCATTTTGTGTTGCTATTAAATCTATTTTGGCAGTGGCGTAACACTTAATAACGCGATTTTGAATCAATGATGAGATAATAGTTAGAATGTTGACACTAATTGTGGTAGTCTATAAATTCGCTGTGGCAAGTAGTATGTAGCGACATGGATCGATGCATATGTATCAGTCTTTACACTGGGTTTAATTAAATGAAACTAGAATACTTTAACCCAACTACATTTTGTTTAATTTTTATTCATCCGACTATTACCGTTGTACATCGAATTATAATCGTTGTTCCCTTTCGTTTGTGCAACCATGCATTTGGTCTTAGTAGCTACATATCCATTTGAAACAAGGAGAACATACACCTATTCAAGCTTATACTTGGTTTCACATATATGTCATATGTATCATTTTGATCGTACTGGTTATCAATATAAATAATTATTTACTTCCATTCGTGCACACTTTACGTTTGTGATTGTTTGCATATCTGTGTATGTTATTGCACTAACTTCATCGACTATATAAATTCATTCAACAATTCATGCAATGACTAGTCGCTACATTAATCCATACATTAGGCGATTCGACGCTTACACGCGCACGCCTTCACACTCACACGTACTTCCTACACCTTTTAGATCTTACACGTTTAGGGCCCCCAAATGCTCTGGTACGACCGAAGAACAGTGTCAGCTCTCCCGCTCAAAATACTCTCACATGGTCACACGTATACAGCTATTGCCAAGGAAGTCCTACTCACTGCCTTCTCGCGGCGAGGGTGTTTTCTCACGAAATTGATATGACAATAAGCGAATGTCCGGCGCTTTAATGGGTTCGGTGGATATGGAGGATCCACCTAGGGGAGTTGAAAAACTCTGAATCCAAACCACTGGTGCACGTGGGCTCCAGTATCCTGAGGGAACAAGTGGCGTATGAACCTATTGTTGGTCACCGACTACCATGGAACTGCATCTCCTGACGTTGCTCCACTGCCTCGTGGATTAGATCTGGAGGCCAAAGGCTCGGCACGTAGCCCTCTAAGAAAATCATCTGATTCGGTTTGCGCTTTCGGGTAGTATTCCAGCCCTCGCACAAATCAAATTATTTATGTGACGCATATATATTTAGTGCCTTCTTGTACCAATGTTTATGTGTTTAAATAAGAATAATACACGTTTAAGTGTGTTGGTTACATTTTGTCTGAAATATATCCATTTCGAAAGATGCTGTTTCAGACTTCTTGATATCGTGTTATCGAGTCTCTTTATGATTATACAACTGGATTAGTCTAAGAATTATATAAAGTTAACACGAATCTGAAACCAGTGTAATTATATTTTATCACACAGTCAAGGTGTATGAGGTTTTTTTTATCTCATTATTCTAATATTTAACAGAAATAGGGAAGTGATATATTTCTCCCTTTTTTTCTCCTTTCATTTCTTTATATGCAAATTAAGAAAACAGAAGATTTTACATATATTCCATGGATGTCGTACAAATGAAATTTGGCCTCAAGTGTATAAGATTTTCTCTCAATTTGTTAAACCTATACAGTGTACTGAATATGATACGAATTAAAGTTTCTTTATTGTCATTATTATCACACTCCTATTTTAGTATTATCGTAGTTGTACTTTTTAGATTTATTTGCATAAGACTCTAATCGGATAGTTCTTCGTATTATTATTGTCAAGTAAAAGATGTAGCTGATTTCTATGCATTAGTATTAACGAAAATAGCATGTTGATTGACCACTGATGTACAGTAATACAAAATATGGTCGAGTGATGTTTGTACGCAGAACTAAATTCTTGACGTCAGTCCCTCTTGAAAAATTACTAGTCAGAAGAATGAGGTTGTTTTCATGTAAAAAAAATGAAATGCTTGTCAGCAAAATATCAACACAAAGAAGGTGTAATATAACGTGAAAGATTCGGAAAAAATCAGCTTGTAAGTCACGTTCTAATCGATTAGGCGTTGACTGTTAAGCTGGTTGCTTGACTATCGTATAACTGCTAAGTTCAACTTCAGTAAATTTGTTATTTTTTTAATAAGCTGTATGTAACATAGTTGACGTCGACAAATAAAATAGTTTATGAAATCGTAATCAGAATAATAGTTGGAAATATAGGTCAAGTTATAAATCGCAAATACAGTGTGGTTTAAAAATATAAGTAGGTGTTAAGATCATCTAAACTGAGAGGAAGAAAGTTATTAATTGTTCATAAGAAATTTTAACCTTTATTTGAGAGCATAGTGAGGGGAAGAAGGCGACTCTCTTGTCTAACATATTTTGACGACATTGGAGTATTTCATCCCTTTGGAGTGAATCGATTGTCGTGATCCTCTTTGGAAATGGCTTGCATGATGTAAGTGCCGGTCATCAGGTGCATTTTTGATACCAGATGCGTCTGAAGTAGTTGCTTTTCACTCAATATGCCGATTGTCCAAAGTGCTTGGAAGGTAGTTTCACGGAAAGTAAATCTCAATTCGTTCTGGTCGTGGGTGTATTGGTTGTACCTTTGACTTTCGCCAAATTCCTAAGCATCAAGCATTTCAATGAAATAGTTTTTGTATCTTTTAACATTAGGACTCCATTAAGCTCATGATATACTTTCAGCTTACTTCATAGAGATGTTTGAGATGTTTATAAACATTTAAAAGCTGTTCGTAAGAATACCTGGGGTAACGTGAGGAATTATTATTACTTCTCAATTGCTGCAAATCAGTTATTCGGTCCTAACGTCCCATCGACGACAGCTTAAAAATAATTCTCACTGAGGTAGGGCAATGTGGTTAGACAGTTTGAGCTAAGAAGGGTTAAAGAGAGGTGGCACACATCTTTGTATATTGTTGACTGAATTCGTATATTACGAAGCCCTTATATCCAATTTTTATTCATGTTAATATAACTTGTGTTATTAATATTTGTTTTTTAATCAAACAGTCGGACAAGAGTGTCTCCGTTTACGTGATTTAGCCTCCTAGTTATAACATAGATGTTTGTGGTTGGTCACTCAGATAAAGATTGTTCGTTTCACTAACGTAAAAATTACTCAAACATCAAATATCTAGTTAGTGTTCGCTAGTATCATTTGTGCCTTGGACCAATTATATTGAAAATCATTTCTAAATGGCTAGTAGATACATCTGTATATACTCACAATTGTTGTTAAGCTATAAAAAAAGTAGTTGCAAAGTTTGTATTCATGCAGTAGTGTGTGCCTGTGGTAGTGCGGTAAAGAATATCCATCTACTTATAGGGATATCTAGTTTGACTAGAATTTCAAGCGCACAACGTCGATAGATTTGGTTTATGCGTGTAAAACCCTGACTATTTGAACTGAAGATGTCTGGTGGTTCTTTATATCGGGTCGGTGTTGTTGCTGATGGGCTGGCTACATTCAGTAACAACATTGAGTTGTAAATCCTCTATTGTGATAAAGTACCACAGAACAATAAGGCCTAATAACTGAATATAGTGAGGTAGACATCCTAGGTACTGGATCTTAGGATTATCCCTACACGGGATAGTTACATCTACTGCTGCTGGGGTAAAAATAAACAGTAGTTAGTAAAAATCGTTTGCATTTATTTTCTGCTGTTAGGTGTTACTTCATTGGTATCCTTTGGACCGGTCCCCTGAAGGGACGCAGCTCGACTGCCAAAAATGCTATCAGACGGGTCTAAAATTGAATCAAATTTTTGATGCTCATGATCAATAGTAATATTCAATTTTTATAGAATTGAAGTTCATTTTTATTCTTATTTAAACCGTGTTTTTAAAACCTGTCTATACTACTTATATATACTTATTTACTTGTTGATTGTGTTTCATTGTTTTCTCGAGAAATTATCGTTTCACTTCGTATGCGCTTTTATGTATGTGTGTGTAAAATTCAAATAGGTTTACTGGATAAGTGTGTTACGGTGTTTTTCGTTAAACAGTTGTTTTATTCAACTGTCAGTTAGCTAGTTAACCTTTCATTTACAATTGTATAGTATGAAACTGGTAGGTATCATCTCTAATTTTATCTAGTTTAATACGAGTTAAGTCGTAAACTTCACAGATTTTCTTACTAATTTATTGAAAACATTTTGCCACAACATAATTTAGCTTTTGGATATGATACGACCCGACTACCCGAATCAAAATAGTCGAAGTGCAGTTTGAGCCCATGACCTGTTAGTTGTAGGTCAGTCGAACTGACATTAACATTGTTCGAGAAAGCGAAAAGTCAGTATACATTTGCAATTATCTTTTCTGATATATTCCTTCGGAATAATTTTTCAAGCAACTATTTTTCTTGAATGATATAATGTTTCTGAGACTATGATAGGAGTATGTTTCATGTATAAAGGAGTATATATGTGTGTGCTCGTGTATCTATACTTTGGCTAATTCTTTTACATGCTTTTTGGTGTGAAAATGTAAACGAAGTAGTTACGAAATGGTAAGGAAATCGAAAAAAATGCCTCGAAATTTTAAAGGAAGAATCATCTTTATTCTAATGTAGATTAAATGGGAAACGGGACATTTAAAGAAAAAGGTTAGGAACGGGTTTTAATAAACAAAATACGGAGAATTATGTTTATTATGATATTTGAAACAGATTAGGTAATATTTATGCATAAAAGGATGTATCCTGAAATGTTATAACCATATTTCACTTACTGTTGACTAGCCAAAGGAATAATGGTGGGTTTGTGACTGTCATAATGAGGCAGCAAATCATATATATATAACTAAAGGAATTTTTATTGGTCATTAATTGCACTTTTGTAATATAAGGGATAAAAGACGAAAATAGGAAAAGGAAGAAATGATTCTGTTTTTCTTGTATCAAGGAAACTGTAGTTCTTCTGTTTCGTCAACATTTGTTTTTTGATCTAGAACAAGTTTGCATGATCTTAGTAAATTTGTGGGAATGATCACTGAAGTTAAATTGTTCACATTGTCAGCATTGAAATTGAACCAATGAGAATTAAGCCAAAAATCAACTGTTCCACGTTTCCTGTCAATATAAAAAGACTTATTTATTTGGGATGTTCATGGATGTATAGTTTACATTACGGACTGAATTTAGACAACCACTGCAACCAGAAGACACCAAACAGCTGTTTTGTAGTAGTAACAACTAGCATCCAACATCCCATCAGTAGCTCTAGGCGATAGTTGGTTATTATCGCAGTGTAGACCATTGGATGCCGTAGCCCAAGTCTTACGCGCTCACTGCAAGACCTAAATGTTAGATAATCGGTGGTGTTGTGTATGGAGTTCCATACTAGGTGGGGACATATGTCCGGTGGTTCCTGGCTTTCGTTGGTTGTCTGAATAAGATCAGCCTGTGATGTACACTATAAAATTGAAATATTCCCACAAGTCGCTCATAATATTTTGTATCTATATTCATATTAGCATGATTAAGAAAATGAGACTTGGTTTGTAACTGAACTTTATGATTGAATGTGTTTATTATGAAAGATGTCAGAAACTTAAAGTACTCTCATTTTTGAATACTGCTTCGACATCTATGGCTCGTAAACTTTGAGTTTGGGGGAGGACAAAAAATGGGTGCACCTGCGCCATTGCGAACGATTTTGAGCCATGTCATTCAAAGTCTTCAACCACTGGTAAGCACTCGAACCCATGTCAAATAATGTACATCTATTAACATGACCTAGTACAGTTGTCAGTAACGTCAAACTGGTGCCATGTTTTGGCTTGGTCGCCCTTAGCTTTCTTCTAGCCTACTTCTACACCAAACAACATCGCGCGTCTAGTAGGTGGTGATTGGACAAACGTAACACATGTCTCAATCGCTCCGGTCGATGAATATTTACTATCTCACCAATCGACCTACCATCTCTACGTAGTACCCTATTTTTAACCCAGACATTACTTAATCGATGGTCTCAAGATACACGAGCGATGTGCTCCAAAGACACCTATGACCAAGCACTAGTAAACTAAGAAAATCCTTTATTCCTAATAGTCATGTTTCACTACCATAGGGTAGAACAGAGCGAGATGCTGAACAATAAACTCGTCCTTTGGTGATGCAACTTGGGAAAGCTAATCGAACCTTTCGAATCGGTTGCGAGATTTCGTCAGATACCAGACCATTATGGCTGGTGAGACTTCCAAGATAAGTGGAGCGACCGATATGTTCAGTTACTTCACTCCTCAAAATTAATTCAGCCGCTGATGCAGATCAATCATGAAGCAACATTTTACATTTGGAAGGAGAGAATCACATCCCAAATGTGCTTGGATTGTTGCTCAAAGTGGTCAGAAAACTGCATTTTGTCAGCATCTTCACCAAATAAAACTATCATATGAGTATTCCAAGTCAACAAGTGAATCTCTTGGTAGAAGATCAATTCCTGCAAGGTCAGGCAATGAGAGTACTTTATTTTAAAGAATGCATGGTTCAGGCGTCTAACCTATATGATTAAAGGAGAGAGCCATCCTAAGTAACGGAACACAATTTGAAGTTTCCTAAAAATGTGTTATCTATTAGTTTCCTGAAGGAAACTAAACGATTTATATAGATGTCTTAAGGTCTCATTATAAATCATGGGTAAGGGGGTCTTAAACTAACACGAAACAGTTGTCTAAAGGTTTCACATATTCAGTCGCTTTTTAAGCAAAAGTGTCATTTCATAGCTCAAACAAATCCCAACTACAGTACATTGAAACCAAATCCTCCTTTCATTGATTTAGTTAAATCATGACATCGAATTTGTTTTCTCCCCATTGGATTTAAGTATTTTACCACCTACAAGTTTATCAATTGATTAACGAGCATATATATTGAAATATATATATATATAACCGGAAGATTTACCTTGGTGAAGGATTAAGACAATTGTATATAAATTTTCTTGCAGGTTTGGAAAACCTTTTCAATTTTTTAATATTTAAATGATTTCGTAAAGTATTTTCAGAATTAATTGTAGATGACAATTCATTAGATTGTTTAATCTTGGTTTTATCATATTGCTGTTTTATTGATTCATCAGATGTCGAATTTTTTCTTTGAACATCAATTTCATTTGGATTTTCACCTGTTAGTCTAAATACATAAAACAAATAGAATAAGTAAATATAAACCTTGAAGTTTAAAAAAGTGATAGATCCTGTGAGGTTTTATCAACAATATAACATGTATATTTTTAAAGGTTTCTGTTATTTCGCTGTTGATATTTAGGACTGAACTTTAATCAGTCTTAATCGACTTAGCCTTATTAACACTAGAATACAATTGCATCCAGCTTGTGAGTTAAAAATAAGATAAAATGTGTCCTAGATCTCACTCTTGGTCACAGTCGAAACTAGAAGTACTAACCGTATGCTAAACCTTATTTATTTTCTATAGATGATTATTAATTTAAAGAAAAATGATTTAAGAAATTCTGACTGAAAGGGATTCTTATTGTTAGAGGATTCATCATTTTTAATAACAAATCATATAAGTTAATGCTCAATAAGCGACTAATTTAAACATTTAAGTCCTACGGGAAGTCAGTAGGGACGGAAATAGTCCAGTTTTTACGCTTCCCAATTCAATATTAGACAGGACAGAATCGAATGCTAACTTAAGCATTAATTTGTCAAGAATGTAGATTAATTTTATTGGTTGGCATCATTTAACACAAAACAGCTGCAGGACCTCTCTATGACTACGCTCAGCCATCAAACAGTATTCAAGCTGGAAACAATCCTTGCCTGAAAGAGATACTTAAATGAGAAGTTCCAGTTTGTTGAAGGCTACTAAATTTAATATTGGCCTCAGGATTACTGGGATAAGGTTTGTAATGTTGAGAGATATTCTGTCTAGCATAATTGTCCCGTTTTCCAATAAAATAATTATCACTACAAACTGACGTCAATTGAAAGACTATTTGAAAGTAGTACACTATAAACCTCTCTCGCCGTTGTATAGAATTCTTAAACATCGCGCAGTCAGTGGGATATAATTAAGCCACAATTTCACTATCTACACCGTGAATTTATGTTGATTTGTGATGTAGAGCATTCTTCATCCAATTCTACTAACTATAAATTTTTGAATCCCGAGATCATTGAGCTCTACAGATCGGGGCTTGGCATAAGAACTTTGGGCAGTTCACTTCCAGCTGAAGTCGGTTCCTGATGACAATCATCTTGAAATTATGCTGCATTTTCACAAACCACCTAACTTACAAGTCATTCGAATTTTATGAAACTTACAATAGTCTCATGACAGCTCCCACACTCCACAAATCTGAAGCCATTGATTTCGACTGATTCTTGCATAACTCGGGAGCTAGTTTATAAATAAATAAAGAAAAAAACGAATTAATAAACTCAACAGAATCAAACAACTGAGACAGATATAAATAATCCTAAATATAAATATTTTTATTATATGCCTTAATCTTTCATACGTATGTTTATTTATTTTTCCAACATGGTTAGTTTTTATTTTAAAGTTGTTGCTAATAATCATAATAGTTTCGGATAGGAAACATAAGACTCATGTTTCCTGCTATTTGACACTCATCACCTGGATTTATTTGCATCATAATGTCTATATTCACAACGAGAATCTAATTTAATATATTCTGTTACAAACGCTGATGCATTACTCACTGAACTACTGAGTCCTAGTAACCAACTTTTTCAACTGGTTTGAAGATATTCGTAAGGATTCATGGTTTTCTATTGTTGATATTTAGTTTCAAATAAGAATAAACTCATGTCCTACGTCCCATTGATAGCCAAATATCGAATGTACTAAAACCTTGTGACTACGTAGAGACAGTTCGTTGAGGATGTAAATACATCAACGGAAACTGATCATTTGTAGTTATTATCAATAAACCAAGATTACAAACCGTCTGCTAATACCATTAGATGGCATTTTGAAAATCACAGAAAACTAAAAAAAATACTTCGTAATCACTTGTTCGCTAGGAGAATGCACACTATATTCAAGATTTATAAATTTTATATCTCCTGTATCACTGTCTTCGCCCAAATGCTAAGCTTTTCAATTCCTCATAATTTTTTTATTACATTGATTTATATTCTCTCGAATCGTATCTTGGATGCGTAATCTTTTCTAATGCCTTTGGAACTGTTATTACATCTAATACCCTAGAATTCTCTCTAATGATTTAGTCTCACTGTGTTAATGTGCTATAGCAAATTGAACCGATTTACATCTGTACTGGGTTCTACTTTGAGTTTAACGGACTGATATCACTTTGAACTCAAAATACAATAGTTGAATTGTTCTTTTCTTGCGTATAATTAATAAAACTGTTATCCGATACTTCTGTGGAAGTCATATCACCATTAAATGGTTCATAAACTATCACTTAGAAACTTTAATCAATATTTGTTTATCTATTCGCTGATGCATACAAGATTTTATTGTGAATTAGAACAACATAGTTTTTAATTAGATCCTCATCAAGCTTTACTCTCGTATACAACAATATTTGCACGCATATATGAAATTATGAAACCAATCAAGGGAGTTTATGAGTCAGTGATTACAGTGAAGTAGATCATATAAATGAACATATTCAGTAAATGGTATAAATTGATATCGTAATGACAGGTGGAGTTCGATATTGTCTCTTACCCACCGTGGCAGCCATAAGGATTCGATCTAACAATCCAAGTTTTTCTGTTCGTAAGAAATTTGTAACACCCTCATTTCTTACTTGGCCTAATTAGCTTTTAATTAATACAGATGATTGATTACTGTATCAAAGTTACACCGCTTTTATCGTTGTAATACGTATACTTTATTTTTAGTAGTATTACAAAGACAACTGAAATACAATGTTTTTCATGAACCTCAGTAGTAATTTACTAGGTTGATGTTTACGTTTAATTTTCAGTGAATTTGAAAAGGTTTATGCAGGTTCAATTTTCCAAATACCATTTGAAATATAATAATTACTAAGTTTTAGATCATTTACAATAGCTACGTGCTAAGCTTAAGCGCTGAATATAATAATTATATATTTGTAAGCAACAAACTATGTGGATTAAAATTCCCTAAAATTTACCTGAAAAGTAGTTGTTGGTTTCATCTAAAACAGATTCATGACCGAACCCAGTCAATACAATATCTGGGAGCGAAGATGTCCGTCGTGCAACAAGTATATGTTCCGGACAAATATTTCCATGTGGTTGTCCTAAAAAGCATGCGTAGAACCATTTTAACGCTGAAAGAATTTGTTGACTCCACATCATAACAGAAAATTCAGTATATTCTACTCGACCGCACAAAACGTCAATAAGACGTCCACCAGGAATCCATTGCATTACTGATATACTTCGTGTCGGTTTAACTGCATCATCTTCTAACCAACCAGTTGACCAACCAGATGGTAATAGTTGTCGTTGATTAGTATAAAGATATGAGTTATGTTGTTCACTATAAAAATCTTCAAATGAAGAATATGTTCCACCACAAGATCCATGAAGAATAGTAAGCATTAATGCTTCACGACGGGCTTTTTTCAATAGATTATTATCTTCTAAGTTAAGATATGTGATTTTGCTTAGTAATCTAGGTGGGAGAGATATGCTTTGATGTCGAACATTATTGAAATTCACTCCTTCACTTAGCATTGGATGAGTTTTTCCAAGAATAAGTTTTGTATATGTTCCTCTAAAAAATACATTAAAAGTTAAATGAAAAGTTATTAGAAGGGTAAATTAAACGGATTGAATTTGTTCTCTATTTATCGAATAAAATCAATTCACATATATATTACTTATAATTTAATTCACAAAAACGTATTAACGTTGTAAAGATTTAGTTAATTGCATTACGTTATTTTCAGTCGGAGAATCACTGAAAACAAGGAAACGATGGATATTCTGTCATAGCTTACAGCTCATCAGAAATCCATACTAATGAACCATATAAAATGTAACTTACGTCCTTGATGATCTTATGAAGAGCTCATTGTTTCGCTGACCAAGAGTTTAATACCCAACGTTTTCAGTTGTCTAGTATCATCTACCTCACATCCTAATAAGGTAATGGGATTTTATTAAATCTTGAAACATAATTCTTTAAAGAAACCATTGATGAGAAACTAACTATTAATATATGTTCATGGAAATCAGTTAAAATAAATATCACATGAAAATAATGGTTATGTCACATATTTGAACAACAGTTTCTCCAATAAGCATTTCTCGGTCATGATTACTTACTTATTTATCAAACAAATTGGTCTACATATGGATTTCAATACATCTAAACTTGGAATTATCCCATTATATCGATTGAGTTTCTGTAAAATTTTGTCTGGTGGTGGAGGTACACTGATTGGCTGATCAATTGCATATTGTAAAGCTATTGGATGGTCGCTTAATGCGTAGATATTTGCTGATTGACGCCAGTTGAAGATCCATGTTCGTTCATTGGGCGATAGAATAGTTGGTGACTGATCCATAGAAACTTATCAGAACAATAGTAAAACATGCGATTATTAGCGGAGAAAAAGTCATTTCTGAAAAATTCAGTCATCAAATTAACAGATCTACGACTTATCAGATACTAATATCTGATTTGTTCAGCACAACTACTTGTAGAAAAGAAATTGATCAGAACTAATAACTGTGCGATTTGTTTAACTGTCGATCAGTGGTTTGTGTAAATGTTGGTGGATTATTTACAAAGGCTAGTCGAATTCTACATTCTAACCCTAAAAAATGTAGATAGATTCCAAATATCTTTATCCAGACTTAATAATATGGAAGGAACGAATTGAGCGAAGAAATTTCTTTTCAATTAGTTTTTCATCATGGCTCTACACTAATATATATACGTTTTACAATAATAATATAATACTCATCGAGTAGATACGTTACGTAATAATTACATAATGACATTTAAATTAACATTGATTATTTGGAAGAAAGAGGATTATTAATATTCAAAGTGATCAAAGTGCTACGTTGCGTAATGTAAGAAACAAAGAAGGAACAGAATTTTAACGGATGGTCAATAGGATGGTAGTTACGTAAGAATCAAGAGATGAATGTTGAGAAGTTATTAAGTTCAAAAGCAACAGAAACAAAATTACAAAAGTTAAAAAAAAAACAAGTGGAAGAAGTATGAAAAATAGTTCTTTTGAAGGAAATCTTAAACTGATGGGACAATTTACTTAATACATTTAATAACGTTCATCCATCAATTAATTTTACATCAGAAGATGAACAGAACGACAGCATATCATTTCTAGATGTCCAACTAAAAAGAAGAGCAGACGGAACTTTAAAAAGAGGGGTACACACGAAGTCTGCAGCAGGACAATACACTTATTTCTATAGTGCAGTTCCAATCAGATATAAAAGGAACTTGATAAAGATCTTGACACATCGGGCTAGAATGATTTGCTCTGAAGACACCATGGAAGAAGAATTGAATAATATTCGGAACCTACTTAGCATGAATGGGTATCCCATGAAATTCATCGACGAACATAAGATGGAGAAGAAAACAAGGAAAAAGATACCCACCGTCCATAAGAAGGTACTGTTCATAAAGTTACAATTCATAAATGACACCATTGAAGAAATCTTGACTCAGAAACTAAGAAGAGCCGTACAAAAAACATTTAATGCTGCCAGATTAAATGCAATCTTCTACAACTATCCCGAAATAAGAACAGCCAACAAAGACAGACTGCCTGAATTCGCCAAATCTATGTGTATTTATCGTTTCAACTGCTCCTGTGGAGCCAGTTATATTGGGCGTACAATTCGGCAAGTCCGTCATCGCATTACTGAACATCATCCGTCGTGGTTAAACAAAGGACAGGTAAAAGTGATTAAAAGTTCTATTCTCTCTCACTTGGTTGACACAGGTCATCAAGTCGAATTGAATAAAGCTTTTAAGGTTATCTACAATATCCCATCTAATTTGCCACATGGTTTACGAGTGCGCCTCTTGCACATTGCGGAAGCCATCGCAATCCATGTTCACAAACCTGACCTTTGCATTCAAAAGAGATTCGTACAACCACTTTCCCTGCCCTGGCCATCAGTTTAAGATTTCCTTCAAAAGAACTATTTTTCATACTTCTTCCACTTGTTTTTTTTTTAACTTTTGTAATTTTGTTTCTGTTGCTTTTGAACTTAATAACTTCTCAACATTCATCTCTTGATTCTTACGTAACTACCATCCTATTGACCATCCGTTAAAATTCTGTTCCTTCTTTGTTTCTTACATTACGCAACGTAGCACTTTGATCACTTTGAATATTAATAATCCTCTTTCTTCCAAATAATCAATGTTAATTTAAATGTCATTATGTAATTATTACGTAACGTATCTACTCGATGAGTATTATATTATTATTGTAAAACGTATATATATTAGTGTAGAGCCATGATGAAAAACTAATTGAAAAGAAATTTCTTCGCTCAATTCGTTCCTTCTTTATTTACCAAACGGCAAAATGGGAATTTTCACTATATTAATAATATAGGTTGTTATAGCGTCTTCGTCTCTTCTCGCTGCCTCATTTGGTTGTTAAACGATTAGGATTGTGCATTGTAGACGGACTGGACAAAATACTACAATAAGAATCGCTATATAATTATTTTACTAAATGATAGGCATGAAACCTAGGTGAATAATGAAATTTGGTAATTCATTACAACACTAATATTTGTTAGTCTAAGTTACCGTTAAGGATTTGATGCACATTTTTATTGAGTAAGGTCTTAACTTACCAATAGGAGTACGGAAATCAGAAGATGCAATGCTGTAATTGCCCCAACCGAATGAATTTCTGGCGGATACACGGACACGATAATATACACCAGGTTTAAGATTATTAATAAGATAACGACAATCTACGGTGAACCCAAGTCGATGCCATGAAGGTGGTTCATTATCACGTTCTGATAACAGAAAAGAAATTATTAAAAAGTTACTTGTTTGGTCAGATTGTTTAAAGAAAAGTGTAGAATAAGCGGGACCATTAATTAGTAACTTTACGCTTTTCGGTTGTAATACCCTCATTATTTTCTATGGCTTTTTTCCATGGTCGATGTCAGTTGTAAAAGTACCTGGAACTATAAATCACCAGAGTTCTTTTGAGATATTATCGATGGGAATCTGTAGGCTTATTAGGTATCTAACAGAAAAAGTTTACTTCTCTATGATTCTACTTTTACTTTGAAGTATATTTTAGATGAGAACTATTTGTATGGTAGCCACATTACAAGTATCTCGGAAGTCAGATAACTCAATATGTAGCTTAATCCAGTATTCTACCCATGGTAGTTAGGTAAGTAGTCTTATAAAATGCTAGTTTATAGAAGCATTACGAAAACTCTGGAACGTAGTTGGAAAGTATATTTTATAACTTAACTAGTAGAATATTAGATTAGTTGTGTCTAGCTCTAAAATTTAAGTAGAAGGTGATAGCTAGGAACGTGGATGATGTGAGTTCCAATTCTATAAAATACATTGGTTCGCTCAATATTCCACTTACGACTTTCTGACGATTCCCAGCTAGCACGAAACCTAGATCCAGAGTTACCTGGTGACTTTCATCAAATAATCTGAGAACATTTGTACTAGTGGCAACAGTAAAACTTGTTCATCTGAGTTTGCTCAGCACTAAAAGACTGGACAAACACGATATTGATTACTACTTAGTAATCAATCATTTAAAACATCTCAGTCTCGTATGAGGCCAGTTGCAGCCTGAGTATCTTCCCAAAATCTAGTTAGATGATTCAGCTCTTAAAATATCCTGTGTAACTGATATCTACTTATAACACGAATTTCTTATTTGCTTACCAATAACTGTGAGAGGATCTCTGAACAAGTATCAAAAGATTAACAGTTAATGTCCGTAGACTAACTAGTAGTGCTATAAACAAACACCAGTGATTGGGGTACGTAGCAGATCCTTAACAAATAGAAGTATTGATCATTGTATTTTACAGGAGCCCTTTGCTGGGATGCTCCAAAATAGATTTGCAGTTCACGTGACATAACCATAGTGACTTAATATTACTCGTTGGTCTTGGTCACATGTTTCCTTCAACCTCAATGATTACATAAACATATTCACAGTTCGTTTTATCATAATTATCATTTTTATCATTACTTAAAAGAAATAATGAAGACCCGAACACTTAAGCTATTGAAATCTTCATGCTTTTTCAAATTTTCCGTATAGGGTTGTGAGGATCGTTGAGTTTAGATTGATATCAAATTTATTAATCTACTTAAATTTTATCACTAGAATGGTAAATTTAGTAATGTTATTATTGCAATTACTGTGTGACATCATATAAGAATCTCCTTGCGTAAATTTATTCTTATTTTTTGACTGATTTCATGAATTCAGACAGGATGTTATTAATCAGTCATTTGCATTCTCCTAATAATTTTTGATCTTTTATCAATGTACGTATGTAAGTGCTTTTTATTTATGCGTATTTCGATTTATGGTTTACCCTATTCTTCGTCTATCTGAACTATGAGTAAGCTCATAAAAAAGATGTCGTATAACCAAACCAAGCAGCCCCACTTATTCAATTTTCACTTATGTGTATGTGAATATATGAAATATTATGTATTCAGCTACATTTCAAAGTTGGCTTTTCAATATTGTCATTGTACAAGTTAGGGTTATGATGTAAGACGGTGTTTAACAGTAGTCGTCAGGGAAAACCTTGAACTTATGTTTCGTACTATTTGGGACTCGTCAGCAAAATGAACTTATGATCTTGAGGGAATTGATGAGGCTTAGCCTAAGTGATGTATATGAATTAAGGTCAATTGGAGTTAGAATGAAGTCTGTAACTGTCATTGATTATAATTATAAATATTTAAATTAACTGCGTATTATTTGGTATATATTTCGTAATAAACATTTATAAAACATCGTACTTTGAAAAGTTGTATGTGTGAGGTATATAGTTGTATATGAAGTGAAATGAATTAATTTACTTCTACAATATTTGTTAGTGAATCTTATCAGGTGAATTAACCGATTAAATTGACATAACAAGTTGACATACATTTCTCTTAAATTATTTAACAAATAAAATTTCTGAATTTATGCTGATTGTATTTGTCTAAAGTGTTTTATGGCTTATTTCTTGATCGATTCTTTGTAGTTTTCAAGAATAATTATAAATTTATTAATGCTATCATATACCCTATAACATTCATATTGTGGTATGTGCTACTTATATTGACATAATTAGTATATGACGTTAGTCAGGAAAGAATGTCTGGCAGCAGAGAGATGAGAGGATCGAACAGTAAAAAATGGAAACAGAATGCAACACGAGAACAATGATGTCTGAGCCATTTTGAGACAACTGATGGTCATTTTGCAAATTGAGCATTTAATATATGGTTGCTATATTTTATTTGCAAGTTCTGTAATTTCCTGTCAAATACACTCGATTGTCCCCACTCGTGTTCTTGTTCACTGCAATATGACTACTAATTTAATATGTAACTAAAATGTATACGTCTTGTAGAGCCATGATATTTATCCTCTTATGCATTTAAACTGTTAACGTTATCGACCGTAAAAATACGCTGTAATCAATGACGAATAATTAATCAATCCATAATGTTGCTTGAATTCTATAGACCAAGTTACAACGTGACTTCTAGTCATTTAGTGACGACATTGTATGCAGTCTTACAGGAGGTGACTTGCGACATGAATTTTTCATTGATAATGTCTCTGTCTGTGATAGTGGATGGTACAGATTTAAATCTCATGAGGAGCATCTATTCATTTAAAATGCTGGATATGCTTAGTTGACGAATACCAAACAGCTCGAAACCAAGATTCATAGATTTCTGATGACTGCCTTTAATCAAATAACTTCTGAAATAAAAGTTATCTGAAAATTAATTTATATATATATATATATATATATATATATATATATAATACGTTTTTATATTTGGTCAAGGTAACTTTTTACATAAACAAGCACAATTATTGTCTGTCACAGTCAAAATAGTATCTTTTTATATAAGGATATTTTTACCTGAATATTTGATATCAAGGCGATAAATCAGATCTTCATTCGAATCTGATGTTGAAGATAGCCAACTAATCAATGCTTCTGTAGGACGAATATCGATAAGACCTGGTCGACCAGGGGGTTTCGGCATATCTGTAATAAAGAAAAATAAGTTTGATACTAACATATTTCATGTATCTCACAAAAAATACAAAGTATAGATTGGGGATAACTTGTGCAATGGCAAAACGACTAGATATTTGAATGAAGTGATTGGGATCATGATGCACAATACATTACTTATGAAAAATAGGATTATTTAAATTAAAGTACAAATTACGAAAAATGGAGACTATTGAAACTTACCACTAAATAAAAGTCGTGCTTTTGTTCTTGATTTTCCAGCACGATTTCTTACCACGCATTCAATAACACTGCGATCTTGTTCCGGACGAAGATCACTTAAACAAAGCCATAACCATCCTCCTTGTTCTACACCTAAACTAACACCTGGGCCATCGGAGAGTAAACAACCATCTAAGTACCATGCGGCAGCAGCCGAAGAACTAGTGATTTTATTAAAATTCAAGCCGGTTGGATATATTTCATTGATAATTTCTTCATAATCACTAATACCCTCTGGAAGGTAGGGAGCACTAGCAAGTTGACAAGTAAATCTCACTTCTCTTGTATGGACGCTGAAATATGCATCTCGAAGTAGACTAGCAAACACTGGAGCTAAATAAAGAGAAAAAAAAATCGTTTTTTTAAAAATCAGTGTTGATTGAAATTGATACAGTTTTTATCACATCTAAGTGAATGAAATTCAATATAATACAAGTATTCAGATTAGTATGTAATTGACTGCTTCTTGAATTCAAAGGGGTTAGTTATTTCGTACTAAGAAATCTTTCAGTTGTTCCTAAAAGCTCTTGATTTCTCTCAATTTCAATTGGTTACTTAATAGAAAAAAGTAATAATCTGTTAAAATATGCCACTGAGAAAATGTAGGGCTGTAAGTTTAAATTACCAATAATATAAACAACAAGCGAACGTTTCACTCATTTAAAACTGACACAAGTAGCATATCATGGAAATGAACACAGTGTAATTAAAATATTTCTCATTTTTTGATTTCAAGTTTTTTTACAAAAACAAATTATTAAAGACGACCTACCACTAAATTTATTTCCAATCTCATTACGTTTTACTGAAGTGGGTTGATTTTCTTGATCAGGATTCACTGATGATTTTTCTTGTTCTTTTATTAATGTATAAGTTGATTCTTCTAAGGAAGTAGCTTCTGTAAGAGTATTTTGTCTTTGTAAATTGAATTTCTGCTCAATTATTTCCGACGCGTCGTCTGCAGTAGGAATATTGGTGTTTGGTGGAATTATAAATCTTTCATCAATAAAATCATGTGCCTCATATCGATCAAGCAGTTGTGATTGAGATTCACTTCCAGAAAAAAAAAGAATTATTTAGTCAAAGGAAATATTTTTAAAGGAAATAGCATATAATAAATTTAGCTGTTGTCATTATCGGATTTATATGTCTCACCCCATTTGTAACTGTGATTACTCAGTGAAGTATTTAGAATGTTAAACATAATAGTGAAATTTGTTGGCGTTTCTTGTAGAAGGAGTATTTAATCTTTTTGAGTAAGTGGATGACTACAAAAAATCTCTTCAATTATTATTGTTTTATTCAAAGGTTAGAATCTCAGATTAGAATAAACCTTCATTCTCGTCTGACGTATGGAGTTCCTAAATGTATACATTGTTAGTACATGGTTTCATATTCCGATTGTTTTACCAACTCCAAGATGGGGAAAAATACGTATTCTGAATTTAAATTATAACAAATATTGAAATACGTGGACAAAAACGTTTGATTAATCTGATTAGTTATTGTTCTTGATATTATGTTTGGATTCAAGAAGCAATTGTAGTAGTGTCTAGCCAATGAAACTTTAGTGATCGTTTTGGTGTATTTCGAACTGAAATGTGTATGCTTTTATCTAAATTGAATGAAATTGGAGATCTGATCAATCAAAATGATATGCAGGATAAATGTTCGCTTCATGGTTTATCTGAAGCTGATAATTTGAGCCAAATTACAGTTAATTTTATGCGAACTATAAAAGAGTTTTGAAGAGAGTTATTCATTTTACAGATGACAGTCATCACAGACTGACTTTGGTCGGGATATCATTGAATATCATTAAAAACTGGGGAGGACTGCATAGTTGTTTCTTCCTGAAATTTTAATGATACACCTACTAAGATTAATTTATGACAACCATATAATTAGTTTTACCAGTATTTATATTCGTCATTTACTGATATGATCATTATATCAAATGACTGTGAGTCATATACATTGAGTTCTTGATCGTCTGATTGGCTAGCTGAGAACAGGTAATATAATAACATTGCTTTTGTAGCAGTGCCTATTCTGGAGATTTGAAGCCACCGTTAATAGATATACAAAGGTGTCTGCATATATACACAAATGTTGAAATGATAAAGGCCCATTATTATTTAAAAATCAGTGGGTAAACGGTAAACTAATTCATAGATTAGTGATCCGATATTGGTTGGTGAGTGGAGATAGAGACTTAGCTATCTCTTATGTATAAGACACAAAATACAACTGTGAACTCTTTACTACTACTGATTTCACCAAACTGGATTTGGGATTTTACACTGTGTAAATGAAAGGTTATTTTGGTTTACATTATCTTGTTCTCAATGGTTAATCGGAATTGTGTATTGGTGTATCACGTGATCTAGTGTAATGGTATAATAATCTACTCTACTATCTAACATGTTGGTCTATTGTGCCCAGTCTATTATCCTATCTACCAGTTGTATCACCTGAGAAAATATAAATCTTATTAGATTCCTTTGTTACATCATGAACGTATTGTAAATCCAAAGAATGATCCTAATAAATCGATAAAATAGCATTGAGAACAAACGAATTAATTTTCACAAGTCGTTTATTAGTAACTGATGAGAAACATTTCCAATATTTGTTTTACCTGTATGGCTCGGAACTTTCTCGTAAACCAAGAATTGATGATGATCGCGAAGAAAGTACACTTTCTGTATCTTCACTTGGAGTTGGCTGCCTTATCATAGAAGCTAAATGATTTTTCAAATCAGAATTATAATTTTTCTCATCACTGATAATGTAGACTGGTTGCTGAAAAATAAAAAAAAGATTAATATATACAATAAAAGTGCATGAAATATGTGAAAATAAACTTATCCACCTTGATCGCTGTAGATATTATGTTATTTAAAGTAAAGTGAAAATCACAGGATTTTATTACTAAATACATTGCAAAAACTTTCTAGTACATTTGTTTGGTATGTTAATATGTAATTGAGTACATTTAGAAAATATACCGGTTGTGAAATGTCTTACTTCATAAAAAACTATGAGTTTTACTTATCCATTGTCTAAATTAATTGGAATTCATTTAAGAAGATTGTAATTAATATGAATTCTTTGGGTAGAATAGTTTTTTTTTGTATATTGAATGCTACATTAGTAAACATCTGTGTTAGATAAAACTCTATTGACATTTTAAAGTTACATCAACGGGGAATTAAAGTATTTAGATTAGGATTTTTTTTAGGAAAAAATTGAATTTACTTAATAACGTTAAGTATAATATGTTATCGAAACCATCAGCTGATATTAGTTACCAGTACCCGAATCATTATTTGTTTGTATAATAAACATTGGAAATCAACCAAGTTATTAATCCTCAGCCTATTTTATAATCTTTAAGTGGTTTTAGCCATACATTTCTGAACGTTATGGATTGAAATGTGACATTGGTCAGCTTATCAGCGAAATTTATTAAGTCATCTTTGTATTACTCTCAAACAACGACTCATAGAACTGCATGTAAAATCACTTAACCTTTCAGTTAATATATGCTTTTAAAGATAATTAATTCGCTTCACATGACTGATATTTCAATTAAATCTAATACCGACAGGTAGTATGATCACATTTTGATTTATAAACAAGCACATGATGTATACCTATATATTTTTTCAATGTTATTTATTGTAATGAACTAGAAAGCTTCTCAGACTCTGTTTATTTCCAAAGAGATTATTCAATATTGTTAGTTTTTTCATCTATAGATTATATTAAGCGGTGGACGTCTTTTAAATAATTTTAAATTCGAGTGAAGTATAAGCTGAACACTATTTGGTTTCTAAATGCTTTAACTGATATCAAGTAAAAACTAATAATACATATTTGTAGATGGATATATAAATAGATGGCTAAAAAAATTCCATAAATTGTAGATAGCAAGAACAAACAATTAAGTAGAATAACCTGAATTCATTAAATAACTTATATGTATGAATCTTCTGGAAAATCCCCTCGTTGTATAATCATTCAAATCACTAAATTACTTGTTGACAATACTCCATAGAATATCAAGAAAGGTAAGTAAAATGAATTCATTTTATTCTGTCCTATTCTTTGTTTTAATAGTTGAAATCATGAGCCAATTGAAGCTAAACCACCATGGAAAACCTGGAAGAACTGGACGGGCGTTTCTTCCCAGTGTGGGACTCCTCAGCAATGTGCATCCACGATCCCGCCCTCCGCGAGATTCGAACCCAAAACCTGTCAGTCTCGCGCGCGAGCGCTTAACCATTAGACCACTGAGACAACCAGCATCCGATGGTTTTGATGTCTAACTTCAACCAATCCACGAAATTGCGCCACCGTACACTGTTGTCTTCAGTGAGCTGATATCTCACAACAGACCTTGTTGAACTCCACTGGTAACGGCTTCTCACTAGAACTACAGGAGTGTCTCTTGAAGTCAGTCACTAATGAGCAAATGATTATTATCAGAAGGTGTTCTGTGGAGAACTTAGAAATTTGAATAGTTGAAATCATGAGTTAATTCTTTATTCTTGCTCACTTCAAGGTAATAACTATCTAAAAACAATTTATTTACTTACTATTGAATTATAGAACTCTTTATATTTCTTCAATTTTTTTAGTATATATTCTGATTTATTTTCAGAATGTGAAAATATTTGAATCCATGGATGAGATAAACATTCTTTAGCTGAAGGTCTTTTTCTGAAAGATTTCAAAATATTAATCTATCATTTATATACTGAAGTCTAAAACTAACGAGTTTCCATATTAATAATGCATTGATATTATAATAAAGCGATTTCTATTCAAGCTTTGTTTTGTTATGCTTCATAAAACAAAAACCGTAGTGTTCTCTTACAGTAATAAATGTTTTGCTCATACTTTACTGTGTAGTTCAAAGTTCAATACAATACATACAAGTGTGTGCATTGAGTTCTTTATCTTTAGTCCTGTTAAGAGAACATACTGCTTAGATCTGGGAACTTATTAGCTAGTATAATATATTCGATATTACTACTATTACTACGCATAATAGTAAATATAACCGATTCATTTGTGTTTTTCTGAGATTGATGGTTATGGAGAACAAATCCCTATGAATAGTGATTAGAGGTTTTGCCTTACGGGTAAATTGAAACAATTAATTAAAACACATACACAGGATTTGATTTCTCATTTTTTCATCAAATCCACGTCTGAATGATTTTTCAATTCGGAAATATTATTTATTTGTAAATATTTGGGTCTTCCCGTTGATGTTAAGAATTTAATTTTGATAAGTAATTATGGGCATATGTACCTGCTAAGAGCGTTACCTTAGTATTGACATCAAATTACAAGTATTTTAACTAAAGATAGTAACTAGCAATGAAAATCCAGACTCATTTTTCTTGAAATTGGTCAACTAGATTTACCTGCATCCGTGTTAAGCTTCACTCAGTGATTCGAATCCAGTGCTCTTCGCTTCAAATACCAACGCGTTATCTACTGAGCTAGTGAGTAAAATAGGTACATCCAAATGATTAGTCTCAAACTGAATGGGAAGGACCTTCCGAATTTCGTTCAGCCTAGGGGATACATTACTAGCAAAAGTACTTCATTGATGTGTACAGTAACTATATACAGCTACTGTTACGTTTCCAAAAGACAATCTGAAAGTAGCGTCATATCATTAATTCGCTGATATACACTGATGTTTGTTTTAGGATACATTATCTCACTCATACTAAAGATTTCAAGGGAATAATGTTTTGAAAATGAATCCTTATTGTACAGTTCTATGTCAAGTAATTACACAATACTAACACTTACGTAGGGTCAGCTTGTAAAAGTTGTGAAATAAAATCTTTGCCTTCATTTGAAATATTTTCCAATTCTGGTACATCGAATGGAATAATAGCTTGTAATATATTGTCAGTTAGAATACTACCTGTCTCATAATCAATAAAAGGAGGCCAACCGACAAGTCTACAGATAATAGAAATAACAGGGATAAATCAATGAACACTGTATGAAAACACGAATCAAAATACAATTTAAACCAAATGTTGTAAGGTTGTTTTCATTTCATTTTGTATTCGTTAGACAAATACTGGGGTACATCAAATAAGGGATGTACTATTATCAAATAGTGGTTTTACTGTATTTTCTAAAGTTGTGTTTTTTATTAACATAATATATGGTAATTCTTTATCATGAAATGAATATAGATTATTTGATTGCTATTGGACAGAATAATGAATTTTAAGCTTACTTTCTTAAACATATGGTTGAGATCACGAACCGATCTTGTTTAGAAAACAATTGAAAACCTGGAGGGACGATATAATTGCCATGAGCTCAGTAATGACCAGCATCGGGGGGAAATTTACAGCGTTCTAGTATTATGTCTTGACCAATTGAGCTCAACTGTATTAAGCGTGAAGAATTTACTCACTGAAGACAATGAAAGATGGTTGCACAATATCGGGAACTGATTGAATTTGGACTTCAATACCATGGGTTCCTGACTCGGTGGTTGGAGGTTAGGTGTTCGCGTGCGAGACCAAATGCAGGTGGCGTTGCCGTGAATCCACATTGTGAAGGGGTCTCGTACTAGAATCAAACGACTGTCCATCACTTCCAAGTTTTCGACGGTTGTTTAACTTATATCGGCTAGTGATCTCAAATTCAACAATCTTCATATCCCCATTTTGATATACATAAATGAAACTTTTCAGGAATTCTGAATTTAGTATTACCTTTGATAGTAACTGACAGTTGAATGCAAAATTTAAATCTTGTCGCACTTGGAAATAATCAGTTAGAAGTACATGGATATATATGAACTGGTAGTCAGTCTAAGGTTTTGACCAAACATTAAATTTATCATAACTAGCCACCAGTTAATACAATATCATTGGGTTTATATAAGAGCCCCCAATGTCAATAAAAACTTTACGTTCATTTATCATACATCGGCCTAATATAAATATAAAACAAAACCTGTGATCAAGGAGGAAACCAATACCACTGTCATTGACGAATTAGTTTTTTAAACATTTTTAGCAGTAAGCGTTGTTCTACATTTCCTACGATGATCTGTGTCCAGTGCATTTCACCCGTCTTTTTAAAAATCATTTTACTAACTGTCAAAGTATTCAAGCAACATTTTAGCGACTAGTTGTTTTGCTATTGAACAAAAAAATTAAATCATTAAAAGCTGAGTTAAAATGACCTGCGTCATTAGTCTTTTCAATTAGTTATGTTACTACTTATAAGTAGTTGACATAATTGGTAGCAAATGTTTTTTTAAACAATATGGTAGCTGATTTTGTGTTAAGAACTACTAGTTCATGAAATTTAAACTCAAACCAAACTAACTAATCAAATGATGCAGTATAGTGGTAATTAAAAATTAATGTGATTGACAGTATAGAGAAAGGTTCATGTTTTTGTTAAACTATTAACATTATCATTACTAGGAAGATTGCCAATCAAAAATATTCCTCCGAAAGATTTTAAAATAAATATTAACTTCAACAGACTTATAAGTTGCGATAATTTGTGAAGTCATTGACGATCTTCAAGGTCAATGTAATTGTTTCATCTTAACTTAGAATTGTTTTGCATAATATGGATTTCCCTTCTGCCTAATT